GTTTATTGATAAGACCTAATACAGTTTATTGATAAGACCTAATACAGTTCATAAGAATAGATATGTAGCTTGTGGCACCCTATGTGCCACACGCAACTTCATTATACTTTTGCAATATTACCATGCGAATTCACATATGTGAATTCCCATAGAATAATGATGACACAAATTTCCTGAAAACTGATGACAGGCCTGGTCGGCCCAAATCTAGGCCCAGATTTGGGTCGGCCAAACCCTTACCCTAAAACCCTAGGGCTCAGTTCACAGTCAATCACAACCCTCCGCTATGATTGTGTGCCAGGAGAGCGTGCATGATACACCATCGTAGCCTTACTGTGTCTGAGCACAGTCGTCTAGAGACCCTACCCCATATACGTCTAAAAAAAAGTTAAGACAAAGAAGAAGAAAAACTACATATGCACATTTCCCGTGCGTATATCATAGAGCTTACTCTCCACCCCCACTTGGGAGGTGGAGTTCGTCCGCCCTACCTCACCCTTGAGGATTTCACTACGGCAACTAACAGCGTGCTGACACTTCCACCCCATCTTCGGACAACTGCAACTCGCCCCAAGCCCGAAGGCTTCCTCGCCTGTACGTTCCCGACTGAGCAAAGGCAAAGCACTTCTCAACTTGGCGCTTGAAGTGTGGCCTTTTCTTCTCATCCGAGAACATGTGCTTCAACAGCTTGTCGTATCGCTTGTGAAGTACATATTTACTCTAAGGCCAAGGTACCAGCTGTGTGTAGCACTCCAGGTCCGTCTCATCGCACCACATCTACCACCTGCCCCAGACCGAGCTCATAGCAGTGGACCACGTGCGTGCCTTTTTAGTCCAACGCAAGCAGTGGCCTATCGCCTGCTTGTAACCGTCCTTCTTGTCACAAAGTGGTGAATGGTATATGAGCCAATCCTCATACGGACCATTCGGGCGATATCGCATAGGCGTCCTCGCATAAGCCTCCTTCGTGAGCTTTCCAATGTGCGGTTTCAATTCCGCCCGAAGAAACTTACGATGAGTGCCGTCTGCCATCTCCACTATATGAGTGAGTGAAACCTGTATCGACACCACCTTAGCTGGGCCACCCCACCTTGCTGACAGATCATGCGACTTGCCTCGCAATCGATACCACACTTGCGAACCGACCGGCAACAACGGCACGTTTTCACGCCTGATGTTGGCGCGACTCTGCTGCTACAGCATCGCGTACCATCGCCTCTGTACCCTTCTCTGACTCAAGCAGAGACAATACCTTGTCATGTAGCTCCAGTCGCTTCTAGCCGTTGAAATCTCTGCCCGTCATGTGGAAATAGGGCGAGAAACCAGTGACCGAATTGCGCGTAGCGTTGTAGATCCGCACCATCTCATAGACCAGGTGCAACCAGGCATGCGGAGAGTCATCTGCTGCCTCTATCTCCCTGCGCAACCAGTCCTTCATCGTCCTGATAAGGGTCTCTGGTCGTCCGTTGCTCTGATGCCGATTCACCGTAATCCAGTGCGGCTCAATGTTGCGACGCTCACAGAAGGTCGTCACGTCCCCGTTCTGGAACTTCTTGTCCGCATCCATCACCAGCCACACCGGTGAGCCCCACGCTAAGACTTGCTCCTCTATGAAACGTACCACAGCCGGGCCGTCTACGCTAGGACCAAACACCCTCGTAAAAATCATGCGAGTCTGCGTGTCCACCGCCAGTAGCACCTTGGACTGACCATTGACCAGATCAAAGTCCATGAAGTCCATGCTTATCTCTCGCATGGCCTCTTCTGGCCTAGGCGGCTGTTAAAGCAATCCCTTCTCCTTGCCCAGGTTATCCAACACTGTCTGACAATCATCACAGCTTTGCCGTACATGAGTGCACATTTCCATGGTTCCACTCCAACCCCATAATGTGCGCACAAGCCGATCCAATCGTTTGGCACTTGCGTGCGCAAACAGCTCATGGGTGTACTGTACAATCGGTTCAACGATTGTACCCCCCCCCACCTCCACCCCGAAGACCGAGCGCTTCATCAACTGAAATCGTTCTCGTTTTACATCTTCCAGAGGTTCATCTACTGGATCTTCCTCCATCTTAGCGCGTTCCTTATCACTAAGAGGCTCTTGAACTTCAGGTTCATCCAGATCCATGTCGTCCTGGTCAGACAGTGTGTCACAATCTGGACCGAGTCCTTCTGTCTCCTAGTGAGCTTCGGAGACTTCGCATTTTGACTGCGAGTGTACATAGCACCTAATGACCCCCCAGCTTGAGACTTGTCACCGCCTCCCAGCTGGGCTTCTGCCTTCCGTACCGACAGGTCCAGCATCCCGCTGGGATCCTGCCAGGGCTGCGTGAAAAACGCACCTACCGCCGAGATAGGTGTGGTCTCTACCTCTGCTTCCTCTGCAGGGAGCCCACACCTAACTCTCTTACCACTCGTATGAGTCACAGCCCCACTATGTCCTCCTGCACCATACAGGAGACAACCTCATCCTCGCGTTTTACTGCCGCCGCAGCTAGCCTCTCGAAGACAGGACGCTCCGCTTCCAGCTTCTCCCAAAAGTCTTTACGCAACTTGTGCGGTCTGTACGGACTCATGTGACACACCAATGTCATAAAGTCAGGCGCAGGCATTACCTCACGGCCATGTTTTAAGAAAACACCTTCCTTTGGGTAGATCACTACCGGATCTGCCGAATGCATGGGTACCATCTCCTTGCACCACCTCGCCTCAGGAGCGTACGGACAACCCAACGTAGCCGTTGCCTTGTCCCTCCTGATCCTGGCTACCACTCTGCCTAAATCTGACCACTGAGGGTTGAAGTACCACCTTGTACCCATCCAGGTGCGCAAAGCAAACACTCCCCCCCCCTGAGTACTATATCAAAGTCTCTCAGCACTTGGGCATAACGGGCCATCCTCCGACCTCTCACCGACGAATCGTACGACAGCGGGTCCTTCGTCAGCATCGTGACTAGCGGTTCATGTCCCGTGTAGATCGTGAGTGGATGTTGCGACCTGTTGACAATGCGCCATGACTTGTGTAAGCAGTACACAATGGCAAGGGCCTCCTTATCCGTGATGTGGTAGCCTAACTGGGCAGGGCTGAACTTTGACGACCAGAACCCCACCGGGCAGAGCTTCTTCTCTCGTCGAGCAAACATCACCCCACCCACTCCTACAGAGTCGCACGCATCGCAGTACATCTCCAGCTTATCATTGAACTGATGTTCAACCAAAACCCCCCTCTTGGCCACCTCAGCTCGGATACGTTCATACGCTTCCTGCTGAATCGGGCCCCAGACAAAAGGGACATCCTTCTTGCTGAGATCCGAGATAGGTGCCATGATCCTGGAATAATCCGTAATGTACTGACTCCAGTATCCTATGGTGTGATACCAAGACGCTAAGAGGTCATTATCAGTGGGTGGAGGCATGCGTAAGATGGACTCCATCCGATCTTCGCTGATGGCCGAGCCAGTTTCATCCACCAACTGTAGAAATACGGCCTCCGGTCAGTCTAAAATATCAAGATCAATTGAGATAATACATTGGTTTTTATTTGTATTTTAAATAATTTAATACAAGCTCTTTTTCCAATATTTCCAAAGTA